TACTTACACTAACATCCATACTTTTACTTTAGTTCTAATTGTCTGGATATTTTTCCTGACATTACCATAATAATTCACCAAATTATACAGTATTAACGTTTTTTTTTTCATACACCGACTGTACTATTAGTTCTTATTTTGTACAAACCCAAACACAAGTGCAAACTTTTTTGGGTGCTTTATGTTTATTGTGCACAATATTTGATATTTACCTGTATTTTGTGACAATAAACATTATTATTATTATTATTATTGTTAAAGGCAACCATACCGTAAAGCTCCTTACTAATGTAGCTGGCGCTATCGGCTGCTTCTGACAGCTATACCACTTCATTAAGTGTGTATTGTGGACTTTTATCTTCCAAATCCACAATGCGCTAGAGACAATCCGTTTTTTTCTTCTCAAACCTTCCTGATATGTTCAGAAAATCAAGAAACTAATGCATTGTCAAAAAAAAGATTGCTTATGTTTCAGCGTACTTTTTCCTGAGTCAGTTTCCTACTAAATCAGCCTTCTAATTTTTTAAATACAGTGTTGCCGTTATGTATTCTTATTTCCTTTTTTATCATTCATATCAACACTTAAATCAATAAAAACATAAAATGAAACAAAATAAAGCAGCAAATATCGAAAAATGACAGGAATGATGAGTAGTTTGCGTTTCTTCGAAGATAATCATTTATCACACATCCCGACCGAATCTATTTTGCTGGTTTTGTATTCTCCCATCAAAGCCAGTTCAAAAACCTGTTGGATTTAATGTTAGTGTTCGTGATTGTCACGACACTACAAGGACTATATTAGGGAATTTTTCGAAAACTTAGTAGCGTGAGGCCTCGTGTTTCCTACCTTCAACAAAAATATAAGTCTAAAATGTCGAGTATATACCTTTTAAATATGTTACAAATGTGCTACTTCTGTAGTAGTTCCAAAAAATGTAATGTCGAAATACGGTTTCAATTGTAAGTAAATGTTGTAGCTGCTCAGTCCCACAGTGACAAACATATGCTGAGCTGTTGCATGACTCTTTTATACTTAAAAAAATCAGAACTTGTGTAATACACCGTCCTGCGAGGTTTGCTTACAATAAATTGTTCATATTGCACACTAGTTGCGTTCATTTCTTGGAAAAGTAAATCGATTTTGAGAATGGAGGAATCTTTCAAAAACGCAAATAACCTAGAGTAAATCACTTCACCAAGTACTCCGTCGGGTACTCTGCCTGAAGTGTACTCGGTGCATCTCTACTAAACCCAAACAAATTTCAAATTCCAAATACCCAGGCATTATTAAAAACACTTCACCATAAATCGATTCTGCAACGGAGCGGCCCTTATATTGCTCATTCTGTATTTTTTGATTTTGCATTCTAAAATGTCTCAAGGACCAATACTCACAGAGTTGCTACATGCTAACATGCTCATAGCGCAACGACACTGGATCGACAAATCAGGGATTGGAAAATATTGCTAAGATAAATGTGTATTTGAATACTTATCGTCTTACCCTATTTCAGACAAAGAAACGACGGAAACCATAAAGAACGTTCCAAAAGTGGCCAACAAGTATGGAAGCTTCTATTTGAGATTGGGTGCTATTGGTAAGCAATAATACATAATTAATTGTGTTACTCCATGGCAAAGATACGGATGCGTCCTACACTGACGCATTAAAAAGTAAACCAACATTAAAACATGTTGAGCTTTTAGGTACCATTGTTACAAAATAGCTTGAAACATTTAACATTAGAAACTTATCATGCGGATAATTTTCGTTCGCGATGGCCGAAACGTAGTATCCGTAGACAGCATGTGGTTCCATTCAGTAGTCAGACAAACATGAAGGATTAGCTTGAAATATGCATTTAATAAGACAAACGAAGAACTCCCGGACACAGGCAGCAGCGGTGGCCGCAGTAGTAGACTCTTCGGTCTCCTGATCAGTCGCCGTGCGCTGTGCGGGTTCGAGTCCCGTTCCAGGAGAAATTTTTCTCTTGGCTATGGATGTTGTGATTGTCCGTAGGTGGTAGATGGTCTCTGACTGTCGAACGTGGAGGTACCACCCGGCGGATCTCGTAGGCGGAGCCAGAATGTGTGCATGTTGCATGCACACGTGTTCCCTCGCCAGAGTCCGTGTGGCGTTCCCCCTTTCCCCTGTATCCCCCTATAGCCCCACGATACCCAATGGGTGTTTAGGCCTTAGGCCTTCGTGGTAGTTGGAATATAAAAAAAAAACACATATAAAAAAGCCCCCTATTCAAGACAATTCAAAGTTATGTTGCTCAATATTGATAATCTGTAGTAGTTAGAATAATACATTGATTCCCAAAGTGGTCTATATCGACACCTAGGGGTCTATGACAACCTACAAGGGGTCTACGTCAGCGAAAAAAAATTTGGGGGTCCATGAAATGAATATGGGGGTCCACGATAGTGGATCTCAACACATACACTGATAGTACCTATTTACTTATACCATACTATCTTATATACATTATTTATAAAAGTACCTATGAAGTAAAAAATTTATTATATATGCTTATAAAATTGTGTAAGTTGTAGGATGTTGGTATTCGCTTTGTGGTCGCAATACATTTTGAACTTGTAAAAACCTGAGAGTCGCAGCCTCAGAGCTTCGCTACCTTGCACTGACTTGTTCAATTCGTCACTCTATAAATACGAATGTGGGACAAATACGTTTATTCGTTTCCTGAATCTTGAAAAGGAAAGTGCTAAGAAAATATTTTAAAAAATATAAACAGATAGTATATAACACAAATTATAGTGAGTCAGTGTTATTTTGTCTGAGAGTGCTGGAGAAAAGTAAGTACATTATTTTTTATTAAATTTTAGTTTTGTACTCGTAGTTATCAAAGATAGATAAATTACGCCAATCATGACTTTAGTTATTAGTAGTTAAATATTCAATCATGCAAAATTACACGAGTAGGTACTCCTCAATAGTTTCTTTTTGAAAGTTTTAGCAATCGGTAATATAATTACAGTGCAATCTCCGTAATTCGAGCTAATTGTTGCAAGAAGATGTTCGAATTATGGAATGTTTTCGGAAAAATCAGAAAAGTATTTTTAATATACAGCTGCTGGATTTTCTGTCTTATTTAAATAATTTAATTTTGCCCACAGATGACTGATGCCATGTCCGAATCAAAAAAGAAATGTAGACAGTACAGTGTTGATATTTGAAATTTGGCTTCATTCCATCATTGCCGGACAAACAATTGCCTATGTGCCTTTTATGCAACAAAGTTTTGGGCAATGACGCTATGAAACCATCTAAACTGCAAGATCATCTGAGAAGATGCCACCCTGATAAAACAGAGAAAGATTTGAAATACTTTCAAACACTCAAAAATAAATTTCAGAAGAGACCTACACTGGACAGAATGTTCGCTTCGACGTCACAAAGAAATGATGATGGTGTGCGGGCGTCTTACAATATCTCGTTACTTATAGCAAAATCCGGAAAACCGCATAATATCGGAGAGAAGTTAATTTTGCCAGCCGTTGAAGAAGTTTTAAAAACTGTTTTACACAAACCTGCATCTGATATCATTAAAAGAATTCCCTTAAGCAACAATACTGTTGAAAGACGTATTGATGAAATGAGTTCTGATATTGAAAGCTTCTTATGTAATTATTTGCAAACGACCCATTTCTCTATACGTATACAACTGGACGAGTCAACTTTACCTGATAATGCAGCATTATTATTGGCATATGTTTTATTATGAATCAAGAAATCTACGAAAAACTGCTCTTCGCAAGAACTTTGATAACCGACGCTAAAGGTGAATCAATATTTCATGTTTTGAAGGATTACTTCATTGAAAAAGCAATTCCTTTATCAAATATAATATCAGTAGCTACAGATGGAGCACCTGCCATGGTTGGACGTTATCGTGGATTTATAAGCTATTTAAAACAAAATGTGTCAGGGGTGTTAGCAATACATTGCGTCATCCATCGACAACAATTAGTTGCTAAAAATTTGAGTGTTAGATTGCATGAATCACATCATTTAGTCATTGATGCAGTAAACCGAATCCGAAGCAACGCGTTGAATACGCAGTTGTGTGAAGAAAATGGCGAACAGTTTCATCAATTACAGACATCGCCTATTTAACAGATTTGTTTACAAAATTTAATATGGTTAATTTGCAATTACAAGGCGACAGTTTAAATTTGATTAAAACAAAGTCCATCTTGTCAGCGTTTCTTGCCAGAGTTAAACTAATGAAGCAAAATATTGGACGGGGCGAATTTTCTCAGTTCCCCAATTTGTCACAGACAAGCTGCCAGGAAGACGACTTTTCAACTTACGTTCAACATTTAAATGCCCTCTATTCAGATTTTGAATCTAGGTTTGAGGATATTTTGACTATGGTAATACCACCGTGGATAATTAATCCATATGGTGACATAGAAGAAACGAATGTCATAATACAAGAGGAAATGACTGAACTAAGTACAAACGAAGAATTTAAGGTTCAGTTTAAAAACGGATATCAGTAATTCTGGCTGCAAAACAACATACCCGTTACTTATCCAGTATTATGGAATATAGCGAGGAAATTTTTAATTTCCTTTCCATCGTCATACCTAGTGGAAAGGGGGTTCAGCGCTGTCACCAATCTCCTAACGAAAAAAAGAAACATACTGGACATCATTAGCCGAGGAGATTTAAGATTAACCCTTACAAAATTGACGCCAAATGTTGATAATTTATTATTAAAGCATCAGGTTCACCCTTCTCACTAAAAATATTGACTTTTTGCTTATGTTATTTTATTTATAGTTTATTTTATGTTTATTGGTGTCTGACCAATAAATGCCCGCATTGGGAATAAGTGCCCGCATTGATTTTTTTAAAGAACCCCCCTTTATAGAAAATATTTTTTTTTAAAATTATTCTGGAAATTCAAGGATAGGTACACACTAAAATTCGTTAATTATTGACTGAGATGGCGCGCGAGTGGTAGTGAACCTAGTCTGTGGTGCTCTCTAATATTTTCACCAGAAAAGTCCGTCTCTGAAGAAATTAAATAATATATTTATGTTAGAATAACAGTAGTTACAGTGCCCCAGTGTTTAAGTTAAGTACTTTGGGTTTAGTTGCCCTTAATAGCCTGGATTTCGTTGATATCGTTTTGTTTTGGTTCCGCCATTATGGTTTTTTCGTCTGCCGACCTGCGTGAAGTTAAATCCGCTATAACCTCCACATTCAACGAGAAATTCCTCAACGAAATTGCGGTCAAGCTGGCTGTTCTGGTAGAAAAACAGTTCGAGGAACAACTGAAATCTCATAGGCAAGCCATCGACACCCTAAGGGATCAAACAAACATCCTAGAAGCAGAAAACAGGCGACTCAGGAAGTTCGTTGATCACAGGGAGCAGTTGGAGCGAAATCATAACGTTCGCATCTTTGGGATAGAATTCACGAACGGTGAGGTTTTGGTCAAAAAAATTATTGATTTGTTTGTGAATAATTTGAAGGTAAATATACCTAATGATGCCATAAAAAAGTGCCGTCGTATCGCTAACAAAAATGCCAACGATAGCCCTCCGGCTGTTTTGGTACAGTTCAATTGTGATTCCGTCAGGCGTCAGGTGCTTAAAAATCGTAACAAACTCCGTAACATGGAAATTAAAATCAAAGAAGACCTGACAACGAGTCGACTAAACCTATTTAGAGAAGCTATAAGCAGGTTTTCGTTTAAAAACACTTGGGTGAATAACGGTATTATTTTTGTCAAAGTCAATAATATTGGGCATATGATACGCAGTGAAAATGACTTTGAAAAAGTAAAGTAAGTACAGCTATTAATCCACATCAGGGGCACCAATATTTCGAAGGTGCATTACCTAAAAATGTAAGTACTGACCTAAGATGCTTTGTTTGAATGGCTAACGCAGTTTTTTTTTCGATCTGGCGCCTATGGTTAGAAAAAATTAGTTTTTTGTTTTTTTTTTCTTGTTTTCATGCCATATACTGTGGATATGTTGAAAAAGGGAAAAAGTATTCATTATGTGATGAATCTAATTATTTACTTTTCTTGTTATAGAATAATTGTTATTGTATTTAGTTTTTTTTTACTTCATCATTTTGCTGTATGTGAATATAGAGAATAATGTATACAAATCAAAATTTTGAATATGCGGAAATTGTATGAGTGCATACTATAGATTTATATTTTTTTTACTCTTCTGGTTATCGTTCCATCCTGTTCCTAATTTGTATTAATAATATTGATGCGTATTTCCTTTTCATAATGGGTTCTTTTATTCTCTAGAGTAGTTAAATAATAACCGAAAATTAACAATTAACGTTACTAAAACTCATTTTTTACCATTTTCATCACTATCTAATCATCTACCAAAATATAACCACCTTCGGTTTAAGGTAAATGATAAAAATATAAAAATCAATAGAGTTAATGATACCAAATATTTAGGAATTTATCTAGATCCCCACTTGAGATGGGATATACATATTTCTCACATACTAAAGAAAATTAGATTCATAGCATATAAAATAAAATTTCTAACCGGTATATTAACTGAATATTATCTACGAATAATATATCAAGCTTTAGTCGAGCCACACATAACATATGGTATAGTAGTGTGGGGTGCTGCATGCACGACATACTTTAACGATTTAGATGTACTTCAAAGAAGAATTTTAAAATCAATGTTAGGCAAATCAAAATTATACCCAACTAATGACTTATATAATGATGCACAAGTATATGACACTAAACAACTTTACTGCTTACATACCATCACTCATTATCACAAAACTATAAGTGAACACGACATAATTAAACATAATCATAAAACCAGATATAAATTACCCGCAAAAAATGTTCCTAAACCAAACAAATCCCTAATGAAACGATGTCACCTGTATATAGCTCCAAAATTGTACGAACATTTACCAAATAATTTAAAACAATTACGCAGTACATTAGGCTTCAAAAAAAAAATTAAAAAAATTTATTAACACGATTGGGAGAAATCAAATTAATAAAATAATCTCAAATATTACACAATAAATGCTCTACCATTCTTACCAATAATTTCTTTTTTCTCTCTATTTTATTATATTTTGAAATTCATCATCCATATGATCCATGCACTCCTATGGATATATTATATTTATTTACTCGTTTCATGTTCCCTGTATTTTAGTAAATAAATATATTATTATTATTATTAAAGGTTAATAGAGGCCCATTTTTTCTTAATTTCCAAGATATTCATTATATGTAGCGGTTACTTTTCTATGTTTATATTTATATGTAATAATGAAAAGTGAGTAGTCCCGGGCATTATTGTTGTCGTCGCTAAGTATTTCTCTCATAGTACATTTATAATAAATTTATAATATTCTTAGGATAGTTTGAATATATTTGTTACTACGCGTTCTTGTATGAGCATGGCTTTTGTTGTTGCAGAGAGTTTAACTTTGGAAGGGGTGGGGCGAGTCCAGCTATATACTTAAAAAAAAATATTAAACCAACAATTAAATTTGGATATCCCTCTCCTAGATGAAAATGTTGAATTCGTTGGTATTCATTTTAGAATTAATAATAAAACTTGGTTATTAATTAATATTTATCGACCTCCTTCCGGTAACATTGCTGCTTTTTTTTAACATTCCAAAAATAAACAGTTCTCCAAAATACGTTACTTATCGTGATTATAATAATATCCGTGAACAGTCATTTCTCTATGATGGTATGCAGCTTCCGTGGAATATTATTTACAATTGTACCAATGTAGATGAAGAGGTGAAATTATTTAATAAATATATTTTAACAATCATTGATAAACATGCTCCTCTAAAAACAAGAAAAATTCAGATAGAAATGCCGTTTTTTCCCTGGATAACCGAAAACATAAAACTTTTGATAAAAATTAAAGATAAAACACATAAAAAATACTTAAGATCCAAAAGAGATCAGCACCTTAGATATTATAGACAGCTAAGAAATTTCACTAAGCATGCTATTATCCGCGAAAAAGTTACCTATTTTGATCAACTGGCAAGAAAAAAACAAGACGATTTCTGGAAAGCCGCGCGAATGCTTAATCTGACCAACCAGAGGACTCTTACTGAACTTCCTGATAATCTCTTAAATCCATCTGAGATACATGATTTTTTTCAGATGACTGATAACATGCGAGACACTGCAGTAAACTTGATCAGTTTTTTATGAAAATAATCAAGCTGTAAATAATAATATGGAATTTCATTTGATAGATCGGATCAGACTAATAAAAATTGTTAATTCCATTTCATCAGGTGCGATTGGAGAGGATGGCATATCCATCAAAGAGATAAAATTGTGTCTTCCTTTCTGCGCAAATGCATTGATTAATATTATTAACACATGCCTTTTGGAAAATACTTACCCTTCTGTTTGGAAAAAGGCTATTGTGAAACCCATATCAAAGGTTGTCGAGCCTAAAGAACTTAAAGACCTTAAACCAATTAGTATTTTGTCCTCTGTGTCCAAACTTATAGAAAAGCACATTTTTGTTCAGATGTCGGAATTTTCTGAATCACAAAATATCATTCCTCAATATCAATCGGGATTCAGGAAGAATTTTAGTACAACTACAAGCTTGGTAAATATTTTAAACGATGTCCGAATGCATGAGGACCAGAAAAATGCTACTTGCATGAATTTGTTAGATTTTAGCAAAGCTTTTGATACTCTAAATCACAGAATGCTGCTGGCAAAGCTAAGCTATTTTGGATTCTCACCTAATGCAATAAGTGCAAAGAAGCTAGGCGTAATATTCGATAATGCATTATCATTTGAACCACACATAAAGAAAAAATTGATGGCAGCGTAGATACGATTAAGAAATATCTCCAAACTAAAAAAGTGTTTACTGCCTAAGCAAAAGTATTTCCTTTGTCAGAATCTCATACTGTCGCTTTTTGACTATGGAGATATAGTTTATGGGAGCTCGTTGGCATAGACTACTAAAAATGCGATACAAAAATTGCAGAACGCCTGCATGCGATTTTCATTCAACATACCTTATCGTAACCACATAACACCTTACCTAAACAATTTGTCTATACTAAATATGCTAAATCGCAGGAAACATCATTTATTCAATTTCATCTATAGAATAATAAAATCAGGAAAACCTCCGTATTTGAAAAATGAGCTTTTAACTTTTAATCATTATTACGGGACAAGACATAACCAAAATGTTTTTATTATTCCTCGACATAGGTCTGCAGCATTTCAACGTTGTTTTTCGTTTCTTGCAGTTCAAATGTGGAACAGTCTAAATAATGATGTAAAGGTAATGTCACAAAGAGTGTTCTCAAAGTATATAATGGCCATGCTTCTTCAGGATCAATAATACAATAATGAGTGTGATTGTGCACGGATACTTGTTGTTATGTTTATTTTTTCAAATTTATCTTTTTATTAGGATGGAGAAGCGAGCATGTGATGATAGATGTTGTATGTGTGTGTAGATGTATTTCGGTGTTGTTAACTATATGAGGGTTCGTCGGTGTGGCTTCGCGTCCGTTGCTTTCTGCCGCTCTTCGCCTCCTCTCCGGTGCTCCCCACCCGTCGGAACGTTGACTTTTTAAGTGAGTAAATACATTTTTTTCTGCAATATCAATGGTTCATGCTCGTAATAAATAAAATCATTAAATTCCAGTATATTGTTTGTATATTATATGTGTATTATAAATTAGTGTAACACAGGGCATTTCCACACCCACCCTACTTATGTAAGGCTGGGTGTTAACGGTCATTTGATCGAGGATTTGTCCTTTTTGCCAAAAATATTGTGTGTATTTTCTATAATACAGTAAATATAATGTTTTTTGTTTTTGTTTTTTGGCAAATAAATGTATTTTGAATTTGAATTTGAATTTGAATTTGAATTTGCCTATTTTTAGATAACTTAAACGTATAAGAAGCGGAATTTAATCAAACTAACAGTGAAATTATTGTAGAACATACGTTTATGTTATAATTAATAAACGAACTCGCTTTTGTACTATTTTAAGTAAAAAACTTTTTTTTTATTATTTTTCACTTTTTTTTTATTTTATCCCTCTTATTTTTTTTTCAATGCGGGCACTTATTCCCAATGCGGGCACTTATTGGTCAGACACCTGTTTATTTAATGTTAGGTATATTTTACATAACAGATACAAAATTTTATTTTGAGTAGTTTTAATTTAAATTCAATTAATAAATGTATAAATCAACATGTGTTTTTACTTTAAGTTTTTAACACTAAACTTCACTACAGTTAGAAATTTACAGGAAATCAATATCAGGTAAGTAGGGGGTCTACCCAACACGGAAAAACGTGGCAAGGGGTCTACGACACAAAAAAGTTTGGGGAACTCTGGGATAATACAAAATGTGCGTATGTCCTTATTGTGAAAAT